GGACCAAAATAGCTCCATGCACTTTTATGTAACATCCCCCCATGTTCCCATTCGTTCTCCTTTATCTTTTTCTTCTGCTTCAGAATATTTGGATTAATTGCTTTCATTTCAATTCATATTCCATACGACAGGAAGGGGAAGGAAAGGGGGGAAAAAAAAAAAAAAAAAAAACTATTTGCGTGTCACGGGTTAGAAAATTTCACAAAGCCCCATTTTTCTGCAAATGCCAAATTGTTGCAGATGTTTTTGTTCGAGCGATGAATGCAATCGTTTTCATACATCAGATAAAGTTCCCAGCTCTCACAACTGAATAAACGTATTCAAATGTCATTTTAGATGGTATTTGTAAGAGAAGTTTGATTGCTGTGTGTGTCATAAATTTCAATACATTCTGTAGGATTGCATGATCTTACATCTTTACGATCCTGAGAGAATTGGTTTTACATTTCTTACATTTTCTACCTCCACCAAACTTTGCAGTTGCTGTTTTCTCTGCTATATTTATTAGGCTGGCTACACTGCATGTAAATGGTTACTGGAAAAGCTTGACAATAGGTGTGATGAGTTTAAAATAAAAACCCAAAACCTGATGCTTCGTTAACCAATGGGCAGTCAGTCCTTTCAGTGGCATTATTTAACCCCTTGACGCTGACGGCACACAAATATGCGGTCTTACGGAACTGGGCTTTTTTCTGTGGGGCCGCATATTTGCGTATCCTGTCTTTGTGCTGGGAGTGCGCCACTCAGCGCGCTCCCAGCACAGAGACCGTGGTGTCACTGAGAGCCCCGCGTCCCGTTCTAACAATCGGGCCCCGGGACTCCTGATTCTGAGTCACGTGATGGCTGTGATAGCCTCCGATTGGCTATCACAGTGATCAGTCACTGTGCAGCCCGGCCCCCTTGTATTTTCTCACTTTATGAATGGAGAAGAGAGATAAATTGTATCTCTCTAACTCCTGACATAGATTAAAAAAAAGTTTGTAAAAAAAAAGATAAATAAATATAAAAAAAATAAAGAAAAATAATTAGATCAAGGTTTGATCTAGTTCAGTGCCAGGGTTAGTGTTTGGGTCAGGGTCAAATGTCAGAATTTTAAAAAAAATTGGGATCAGTGGTCAGTTAGCGTTAATATCAGTGTGTTTTTAGTTAAAAAAAAAAAAAAAAAAAAAAGACAAAAACAAAATGCGCACTATTGTTTCTGGGCTGTACTACGGGTACAAATGACATACACATATATGGTATCGTTGCGATGGTCAAGAGCTGGAGAATTTATTTTGGGTTGTTCTATGGAGGTAGGTTATGGTCGTAACAAGAAACACCGCTAAATAAAAAAAAAAAACTTTTTTATTCTGGGCCAGTTTCCCTTTGATAATAAAAAAAAATTTGGAGTTATCCATTACCATTTACCATCAAATGAAAGCCTAATTTGTCTTGAAAAAAAAACAAGGTATAATCCACCTGGATGTACAAAGTAGTTGTGATGATATGGACGGTTTTACTAACACATGTCAACGTTGCAGAATTGTGCTTAGGCATTTAGATTTGTTTTACCCTCAGGCATGAAGGGGTTAAAGTTAACCTGCACTTCAGGCCACAACACAGCTCTTGCCATTATGTGCAATAATGCTCATTATTTTAGTACATTATCCACTTGACAAGTGCAATATGTATATCAACTTTGCATATCTTTTTTTTTTTTCCCCCAGTCATTGGCAGGCTTTCTAATGAAAGCGGTCTGAGCTGCTCATTAGCCACTGGATGTGATGGGAAGGGATCTTTTGCTTTTAAAGGTAAAGGAGAGATTTGGGGTCTTTCTGACCCCAGATCTCTCCTTAGGGCTCGTTCACACTAGGCTGTTTTGCCAACGCTTGCCAAACGCCCCTATAGCGTTTGGCAAGCATTGGTCCGGTGTTTGCGGAGCGTTTTTAACGCTCGGCAAACGCTCCGCAAACGCCGCATGCACGGTTTAGCGGCGTTGCTAGGCGTTTGCCGAGCGTTAATAACGCCCCACAAACGCCTATAATGCATTTGAGTGGTGCTACCGCTCCGCAACCGCGTCGCAACCGCACCGCAAACGCCGGCCGGGCGTTTGCGGAGCGGCACCATAGACGAGAATAGGAGGCTTCAAAGCCTCCTGACTCGACCAGAGGCGTCCGTTTTGCCGCGACGCAACGCGACGCGACGCAAACGCTCCTGTTAGAACAGCACCATGTGCTGTAATGTGCAGAATTGGCAGAGGCGTTTGGGAAGCGGTAAAAACGCTTCCCAAACGCCTCTCTGCCGCCTGCACACAAGGCTAGTGTGAACGTAGCCTTAAGAGGACCTGTCATGCTTATTTCTATTACAAGGGATGTTTACATTCCTTATAATAGGAATAAAAGTGATTAAAAAAAAAAAAAAAGGGACAGTGTAAAATTTAAAAACACATATGTAAACGGTGTTTGCAGCATGTGAGGTATCACCGCAAACATTGGAGTGAGAGCAGTAATTCTAGCACTAGACCACCTCTAACTCTAAACAGGTAACCTGTAAATTAAAGTGTCGCCTATGGAGAGTTTTAGGTACCGTAGTTTTTCACCATTAGACGAGCGTGCGCAATTTTAAAAGCATGGCATGTTGGGTAACTATTTACTCGTTGTAACATCCTCTTTCATAGTTTGGAAAAAAAAATTGGAGTATGTGTATTTTGTTTTTTTCTAAATCATTAAATGTATTTTTTTACCAGAAAATTGCGTTTGAAAACCGCTGCGGAAATACCATGTCACATAAAAAAAATGAAACAATCACCATTTCATACTGTAGGGTCTTTTCTAAAAAATATGCATATTTGTTTGGGGGTTATAAGCAATTTTCTAGCAAAAAATACTGATTGTAAACAAAACGTGCAATAAAATGCTTGGTCTTCAAGTGGTCATGACAGACTTGTCTTAGTGGGGTTTATTTACTAAAGCTGGAGAGTGCAAAATCAGACTCCCTTCTGCATAGAAACCAATCAGCTTCTAACCTCAGCTTGTTCAATGAAGCTTTGGCAATGAAACCTGGAAGCTGATTGGTTTCTATGCAGAAGTGAGTCTGATTTTGCACTCTCCAGCTTTAGTAAATAAACCCCAGTGTGTTATCCTTCAACCATGCAGGTTCTACCTTCTACTCCATCGCTTAGTGATGCTGTCTTTTCCCGATCTTCTGAGTCCAGAGTCTTCTGTCTTCGTCAACTGGTTTGCATATAGATGATGCAACACAGGGGTCTCCAACCTTTTGACTTTCCTGGGCCACACTGGAAGAAGAGGAATTGTCTTGGACCACACATAAAACACACTAACAAAAAGGATAGCCGATGAGAAGAAAAAGTCAAGCAGATCACAAGTGCATAATCCCTGATATCGATAATGTGATCTTTTTTTTTTTTCTATTATAAAGGTAAAAGAGGGCAGCATAAAACTAGTGTGATATTTGGCACTGTTTTTCTAACGCATCAGTATATATTTGGATGGATGTAGTTCTCAATGAATTCTCAAAGTGTTCATATTTTGGTTGCTGCACGTGCTCTAAAGCATGCGCACATCACTCCCATACTTAAAAAGCCCTTCCTGGACCCACCAACATGAACAACTTAAGACCCATCGCAGGCTATCCCCTCTTCAGTCTATCATGAATGCTGCTGCCAGACTCATCCACCTTACTAACCGTTCTGTATCATCCACCCCTCTCTGCCAATCCCTCCACTGGCTTCCCATTGCCCAACGGATAAAATTCAAAACCCTAACAATAACATATGAAGCCATTTATAACTCGCCCCAAATTACATCACTGATCTTGTCTCTAAATATCACCCAAACTGTACTCTCCGCTCCTCGCAAGACCTCCAACTCTCTAGCTCCCTTGTCTCCTCCTCCCCCCATGCTCATCCCCAGGACTTCTCCAGAGCTTCCCCCATCCTCTGGAACTCTCTACCCCAATTTATCAGACTGTCGGCTACTCTGCTCACTTTTAGGCGATCTCTGAAAACCTATCTTTCAGGGAAGCCTATCCTGCCCTCAGCTAATCCTGGAATCCTCTCCTCTTCCTACCAGTCCATCCCCCACAGTTACTACCTTTTGTACCACTAGCCCCTCCCTCCTAGATTGTAAGCTCCAAGGATCAGGGCCCTCCTAACCCTCTTGTATTGAACTGTATTGTTGCTGTATTGTCTCCTGTTATAATATAAAGCGCTGAGCAAACTGTTGGCGCTATATAAATCCAATATAATAATAATGACATAAATAAGGCATGATTGCAAAGAGTGGGAGATTTTTATTTGGGAAGATAAAACTTATAAAAGTCCAGTATAGAGACCCTATTTTTTCTTCATCTGCATGTGTTAGCTAAGTAAAAATGCTTTTTTACAAAAAAAAAAAAACATTAATATAAATTTTTAGTTTTCTGTTGAGCTGCATTCATAGCCATCTTGGGCTGCAGGTTGGACACACCTGATGTAACCTCTCGGCATCTGTAAATTGTAACAGACTAGGTTTTTAATGGCAGAAGAAACAGAGGTTTTGCTGCCATAAAACCATGCATAACCAATTCAAATTTGATTTTTGTTTTGCTTTAAAGATAAACTGAGCAGTCAAGGCAAATGGCAAAGGTTTGGACATCCAGTATTGCCTGTAGGCACCTTGCTGCTGATCTTTTTACCATTACTTACTTATTAAGCCTTTTTCTGTGTTGTCTCTGTGTGGAGGCAGCCATCTTGGTAGAGGCAGGGCTTTGCTTCCATATATCAGATTTCCCCCTGCTCCATCACCATAATGACTGGTGGAATATTCAAGACACAGCAGAGTTGCAAAGAGCAACGGTCCACAGAATGGAAAAAAAAATGGCTTTGTGCAGTGACCGCTTCCTGGCAGAAACGTTCAGGTGGATTCAGACTAGGATCTGAACAAACCTGAGCTCTCCCTGTTGTGAGTGTATATGCTTTTTTGCATTAAAGCTTTACTGTTTTTTTTTTTTTTGTTTTTAAGGTTGAAGAAGGCAGCAAAAATGTGAGACTGGGATCTTTAATTGCACTTTTTGTGGAGGAAGGGCAGGACTGGAAACAGGTTGACGTTCCAACCGTTCAGAGTCCACCATCACCAAGTTCGCTCCCTGTGGCAGCCGAGGCAACCCCGACCCAGTGAAGGCTCTTGTCCAGCCTGCCAAACTTGGGTATGTTTTGGAAAGACCACTGTGGTCTTATATATATATTTCTGGCACTGGCCTGGTTTCCTGCAATGGGTAAATGTAGCTTTGTTTGAATAAATATCATATGAATCACACATACAGTTGTGCTCAAAAGTTTGCATACCCTGGCAGAAATCGTGAGATTTTGTCATTGATATTGAAATTATGACTTATGGTTTTTTCTATTTAAGAATAGTGAACATATAAAGCCATGTTTTATCATACAATTGTTTTGGCTACTTTTTAAATCATAATAACAGAAGTCACCCAAATAGCCCTATTCAAAAGTTTCCATCCCCTGGAATGATTGGCCTTGATACAGACACACAAGGTGACACACACAGGTTAAAATGGCAATTGAAGGTTAATTTCCCACATCTGGGGCTTTTTAAATTGCAACTAGTGTCAGTGTATAAATAGTCAGTTTGTTAGCTCTCACGAGGATGCACTGAGCAGGCTAGATACTGAACCATGGGGAGAAGAAAAGAACTGTCAAAAGGCCTGCATAAAAATGTAATGGAACTTTATATAGATGGAAAAGGATATGAAAAGATATTCAAAGCCTTGAGTATGCCAGTTATTACTGTCACTTATTAGGAAGTGGGAAATTGGGGATCTGCTGATACCAAGCCAAGGTCAGGTAGACCAAGAAAGTTTGCAGCCACAACTACCAGTAGAATTGTTCAGGATACAAAGAAAAACCCACAGATAACCTCAGGGGAAATGCACAATATGTTGATGCTTGAACAGAAATTAACTGCATGGTCCAGTTGCCAGAAAGAAGTCTTTTACTGTGCCAATGCCACAAAAAGTCCGGTTACAATATTACCGACAACACCTTGACTCGCCTCACAGCTTCTGGCATACTGTAATCTGGAGCGACGAGACCAAAATAGAGCTTTATGGTCACAATCATAAGTGCTATGATAGTAGAGGAGTCAACAAGATCTATAGTGACAAGAATACTGACCCCACTGTGAAGCATGGTGGTGGCTCACTGATGCTTTGTGGTTGTGTGAGCTCTAAAGGCATGGGGATTCTTGTGAAAATTGATAGCAAAATGAAAGCAGCATGTTATCCAAAAATACTGGCAGACAATTTTGCATTCTTCTTTCCAAAATCTGTGCATGGGACGTTCTTGGACTTTCCAGCAAGACAATGACCCTAAGCACAAGGCCAAGTTGACCCTCCAGTGGTTACAACAGAAAAAGGTGAAGGTTCTGGAGTAGCCATCACAGTCTCCTGACCTTAATATCATCAAGCCATTCTGGGAAGATTCATGCAGAATGACCAGTTTGTATGACCTGAAGGCATTCTGCCAAGACAAATGGGCAGCTATGCCATCTGCAAGAATTTGGGAGCCTCATAGACAACACTTACAAAAGACTGCATGCTGTCATTGATGCTAACAGGAGCAGTGCACAGTATTAAGAACTAAGGGCCATTTCATTTATTTACTTGTTGCCATGTTTTGTTTTATGATTGTAGCATTCTGTTATGACCTGCAGTTACAGAATATAAATCCCATGAGTGTTTTGCCTGCTCACTCAGGTTTTCTTTAACCCCTTGCTCTCCAGAGGATTTACCCCTCTTCCTGACCAGGCCATTTTTTTGCGTTACGGCGCTGCGTTACTTTAACTGACAATTGCGCGGTCATACAATGCTTCACCTGAATTAAATTTACGTCCTTTTTCCCATGAATTGAGCTTTCTTTCGGTGGTATTTGATCGCCTGTGCGTTTTTATTTTTTGCGCTATAAGCAAAAAAAGACAATATTTTCGACTTTTTGCTATTAAACATGTCCAGTAAAAAAATTATAAAAATCAAATTTCGTCATAAATTTAGGCCAAAATGTATTCTGCTACATGTCTTTGCTAAAAAAAAAAAAAATCCCAATATGTGTAAATGAATTGGTTTTACGTGAAAGTTATGGCAGTATAGATATTAGGTTTTTTTTCTATTAGTAATGGCGGAGATCAGCGACTTTTAGCGGGACTGCGGCAGGCATTCTGACACTGGGGGGGAACTAACTTGACATATTCCCAGTGACACCAATACAGTGATCAGTGCTAAAAAAAAAAAAAAAAAAAAAAACGCTGACACTGTACTAATGGCACTGGGCGGGTAGGGGTTAATGTGAGGGGTGATCAAAGGGTTAACTGTGAATGTTTTACTAGGGTGAGGGGGGTGTGCTTTACTATAAGCACACTGATTAGGATGGCTGTGCTGTGCACAGCCATCCCGAGCAGTGTGCTCGAGCTGACCGAGGAAGACTGTAAACAAAACAGTCTTCCTCCCCGTCGTTGATTGTTGGTAATCACTGGGCGCAGGCGGGTAATCAACCAGTGATTGACATTCCACGGCCGCGAATGGCAGCGCGGTTAGGGCACGCGCGCCCCCTACCCGTATATGCAAAATCGTGTATATATATATATACGTGATTTTGCGCACAGGTGCCGCCCTGTAGCAGTATATCTGCTATAGGACGGTTAAATTGGTACATACCGTATATTACCTATTCTCAAAGGGTATGCAAACGTTTGAGCACAACTGTATATAATCTCTCATTGCAAGTATTGTAGATCCAAGATCTATGCTTGTTTTCTTTACAGATATTTTATTATATTATACAGTATTTATAAAGCGCCAATAGTTCGCTCAGCGCTGTACATTACAAAGGGGGACAGAACATGTGACAGAACAATAACAATACAATGCAAAACATGAGGGGATTGAGGGCCCTGCTCTTTCGAGCTTACAATCTAGATATTCAATATACTCCTTAAAGTGGACGAATCCTCAGATATTTTTTCATGTTAGGTGTATGCATCTGTGTAAAGTGTATCACTTGATTTATTTAGGTATTTGCCTGTACTTCTGATCTAAAAGGGTTTACATCTTAGGGAATACCCTAAAACTGTGTTTGTAGACTTGTATAGTGACAACACAGGAACGTCATGGACCCAGGAGTTACCCATTCTTCCCTTGTCCCTCAGAATCCAGCAGGCTTGTCTTGTGGCCGCTCAGATGTGTGAGAATCACAAGTGTTTATTTTAATTGGTGCCCTGAGCCAGCTGCTGGAGATGGATCCTGCGTCTCTAATGACGCGCATCCAGCTGTCTCCTACTTCATTACGCTGTGTGCAGGACACAGACCCGGCTAGCCCAGGGCAGCGCCGGCAAGGCTCGGACAGACGAGCTAACAGAATAATCACACTGAAAAGGTCAGCACTGTGGTGCCGCCAGTGGCTTCTCCGCTGTCTTTAAGCAGCACTGGTGGCATGTATGCTAAAATGGATTAAAATTGTGTTTTGTGCGTCAAGACGTATCTGGGAAGTATAATCTAGTGTAGTTTAGCTGCATTCTTAATATTAATTTACCCACAGGATCTACACAGTCTGATGAGCTTTACAGCTATGTGGGGGAGAGAAAACACACACACTGCAAAATGCTTAGGATTTAAAGGGCATTTGATATTAATGTAAAAACCAAGGCGTGTTAAAGCTGAACTCTAGGCAGATGTAAAAAACACACAAATGAATGCAGCCTGTAATCATTTAATACATCATTACATTTATTTTTAAATGCACGCGGTGCAAGTGCCTGAATATGACCCTGGGGCTGGAGTCTGAAAGGAACAAGCAGCACAAAGAGATGATCAGTTCATGTGCTCACCAGAACCATGCTGAAAGGAGGAGAAAGCAGTGACAGATATGAGCTCACCATTGTGCTGCTTCCTCTTTCACAGGCTGGGGTTGTGTCCCCGAAAATCTGAGCTCAGAAGAAGGGGGTGGAGTAAGACTAATACCGGCCATAGACGGTTCGAAAATCGGCCAATTTTCGCACTGTTAGTGGGTTAATTGGTCGGCCGGTTTCGGGTTTTTTGGAATTTTAGATTATCGGGCATGTTGGAAAATTCGCGGAAAACGGACGATTTTCGCGGCAATGATGGCCAAATCGGCCAATCGTTTTAACGATAAAAAATCTGCGCAAAAAATCTGCGCATGAGCCGTGACCTGCGTTTTTTTTTTTTTAATCGGTGGTAACGTCGGCTTAACGAACGACCGATTTATCGTTTGAAAAATCGGCCGATGTTCGACCCATCTATGGCCTGCACAAGGGCATCTACTTACAGAAAAAAGTAAAACTCTGGATTGGAGATGATTATTTCAACAAAAGCTGTTTTTATTGATCTTTTTGAAGCTGGCCACATACTACAGCATGATTAGATGACTATATTCACGTTCAGCATTTCAATATGGAAAACTCTTTCAGTCAAAATGTAACAAATTTCTAGAGAGAAGATATTATTATAATGTGTGTGGTCTTTCCAACACACGCGGGAACTGGTTTAGGCAGAGCTTGAGCGAGCAGCTTATAGCAGTCATGTCTGTGTGCTTGAAAGAGAAGCTCTTAAAGCCGTATTAAACCCAAAACCAAAAATGTCATGGAAAATGGAAAAACAAAAAAAGAGGGCCCACCGACCTAGTGCATTATCAATTAAAATTATTTATTGAAAGAACAAAGTAAGTATCATACAATGGACATGAAAACACAGGCATATCACACTGAACAAGATGTTTGATCCAAACAGCTTCTGAGTCCATACGATGGAACCCTGGATGACCAACTGGCTAACGCGTTTCGAGGACAGAACCTCTTCCTCAGAGCCAACAGAGCTAAATTATTGTAAATGGGGACACAGAGAGAAATGAAAACAGGCGAACTCTCCTTTACTCTATCCAGGGCAAAAAAAAGACTTCAAAGCTTAAAAAAAAAAATACAAACATTCGAACCTTAATCATGAAAGTGAATGGGGAAGAGTGGTATATGTTTTCTTCCTTTCTTTTTTTTTTTTTTTTTTTTTTGAGTGCTTATGATGCATTATATCTAATAACATGATCTACATGTCAGTGTTTTGTTTTTTTTGTTTTGTTTTGCAGATTCCGTATAAGTCCAGCGGCTCGACACATATTGGATACACATGGGGTGGACCCAAAAAGTGTGGTTGCGTCTGGCCCCCGTGGGATAATCACAAAAGAGTAAGTTCTTTCCTGTGACCATTTTTAGTCCTATTTTAAACATGTTAATAGATCTTCATTGTGCATACAGTGGGGAAAATAATTATTTGATCCCCTGCAAATTTTGTAAGTTGCCCACATACAAATAAATGAAAGGTCTATAATTTTATCATAGGTGTATTTTAAATGATAGAGACAGAATATCAACCAAAAATCCAGAAAAAACACACGATACAAATGCTATAAATTTATTTGCAGTCCAGTGAGTAAAATAAGTATTTGATCCCCAATCAAAACACGACTTGGTGCTTGGTGGAGAAACCCTTGTTGGCAAGCACAGAGGTAAGACGTTTCTTGTAGTTGGTTACCAGGTTTGCACACATTTCAGGAGGGATTTTGGTCCACTCTTCTTTACAGATCTTCTCTAAATCCTTAAGGTTTCTTGGCTATTGCTTGGCAACTCGAAGTTTCAGCTCCCTTCATAAATTTTCTATAGGATTAAGGTCTGGAGACTGGCTAGGCTACTCCATGACCATAATGTACTTCTTCTGGAGCCACTCTTTTCTTGCCTTGGTGGTATGTTTTGGGTCATTGTCATGGTGGTAGATCCATCCACAACCCATCTTCAGTGTTCTGGCTGAGGAAAGAAGGTTCTTGACCAAGATTTTACAATACATGGCCCTGTCCATTAGCCCCTCAATGCAGCAAACTCGGGATATACCTTTAGCAGAGAAACAGCCCCAAAGCATAATGTTTGCACTTCTGTGCTTGACTGTAGGGATGGTGTTCTTAGGGTCATAGTCAGCATTTTTCTTCCTTCAAACATGGAGAGACGAGTTAATGCCAAAGAGCTCATCTGACCACAGCACTTTCTCCCAGTCCTTATCTGAATGATTTAGATATTCATTGGCAAACTTCAGAAGGGGCCTGTACATGTGCCTTCTTGAGGAGGGGGACCTTGCAGGTGCTGCAAGGTTTCAGTCCATGGCTGCCTATTGTGTTAGCAATGATTTGTGTAATGACTGTGGTCTCAACTGCCCCGAGATCATTCACAAGCTCCTCCCGTGCAGTTCTGGGCTAATCCCTCAGTTTTCTCATGATCATCCTTACCCCATGAGGTGAAATCTTGCATGGAGCTCCAGACCGAGGGTGATTGATGGTTATTTTGTATTTCTTCCATTTACTAATAATCACTCCAACAGTTGTCTCCTTCTCACCAAGCTTCTTCCTGATGGGCTTGTAGCCCATTCCAGCCTTGTGCAGGTCTACAATCTTGTCCCTGACATCCTTTGACAGCTCTTTGGTCTTGCCCATGATGGAGTGGGCATTTGAGTGGAAGAATTCTTTGAACAGGTGTCTTTTTTTTTTTTTTTTTTATTGTTTGTTGGTAGGGTATGAAATACTTATTTTATTCTTTGAACTGCAGCTCAATTTATAACATTTGTATTGAGTTTTTTGGGGTCTTTTTTTGTTGATATTTTGTATCAGTTAAAATACACCTATGATAAACATTATAGACCCTTCATTTCTTTGCAAGTGGGCAAACTTACAAACCTGCAGGGGATCAAATAATTATTTTCCCCACTGTACAGCTGTCAGTTTCTTTTGTTTCATTAGCACCAACATATGCAGCAGCAAAGTAGAGTGAACGCTGAATGATGCAAATCTGTCCATGCTTTACTTCTTAAGTAAAATAAAGAGCAACGTGTAAAGTACCGGTAATCCTTAAGGGCCAGTTTACACCATGCCTGCACCTGAATCGTGGTGTGCGTTCTTGTGCAATTCACATGTGTTCTGTGTGGTAAGATTTCAGGCTATTAATTTAAAATGCATTGCAACCAGATCACATGGTACAAAAGTACTATGTAATCTAATGCGGGCAACCCGCTGCAGACCGTAAATTTAGTGCATTATGCAAGCAGTTTGAATCTCACAGGAACCCACAGCGTGGTCTTGTGCGATTCAGATGTGGGCAGTGTGTGAATCGGCCCTAAAGTGACCTTGTCACAAAATGTTATATTGCAAAAGACTGGTACTCCAGTAAAGGAGTGATATATTTATCTGTCCCAGTGCTTGAGCTGCCAATCTTCAAGAGCTATGGCGTCCAGAGAATGCTCCTTAGCCCACTACCTTTCCAGCGCCTTATGTCCCTTTCACATGGGTGGACCGATCGCAGACATGTCCGCTTACACCTGTCTGCATTTGATCCGATCTGCTAAAAACAGACACATGGAGGATCTGTTCTCCATCCGTCTATCAGATGACAGTCAAATGTAAATGGACAGGCGGTCCGTTTACATCTGACCACCCATAGAGGGAAGCGAGCTGTGTGTGCTCTGCATAAGCGGAGTGGACATGGACCTATCGTCTGCCTGCTCAGCAGGGATCGGCTCGTGGAGTCCGCCCGTGTAAAAGGGGCCTTAATCATTATTCTTCTCATGAAGAGCTACTATGTCCAGAGAAACCTCTTCATTCAACACCCTTCCCAATGCTTGAGCTGTCATTCTTCACCTTCTTAAAGAGCTATGATGCCCAGAGAATCCTCCTCATCTGACCAGCATCCCAGCGCCTAAGCTAGGGGTGGGCAAACTTTTTGACTTGAGGGCCGTAATGGGTTCATATATTGGACCCGGGGGCCGGACCAAGAGTAGATGAATGATGTGTATGTGTCATCCATAGTAAGTATAGTAATATTCCCCCATAGTAAGCATAGTAATTCATCCCCCATATAGTAATTCATCCCCCATAGTAATTCATCCCCCATATAGTAATTCATCCCCCCTATAGTAATTCATTCCCCATATTAAGTCCCCAAGTCCCCCCTGTGTCAATTCACTTACCTTTGCTCCGCGCGTTCCTCTCGCCGTGTTCCCGCGCCGTTCCGGTGTAGCATGAAAATCTGTCTCCTATGAGGATCTGTCCCCCTCGACGTATCTGCGCATGTGCCAGTTTCAGGCATTAGCAGCCGATTGGCGATCTCCGGCACATGCGCAGATACGTCGAGGGGGACAGATCCTCATAGGAGACAGATTTTCATGCTACACCGGTCTTCAGGGCGGACTGTGAGAGGAGCCTAGCGGGAGCCTAGCTCCGCGGGCCGGATTAAAAGGTCCGCCGGGCCGTAGTTTGCCCATTGCTGGCCTAAGCCATCAGTCTTCACTTTCTTCAAGAGCTTTTGTGTCGGAAGAATCCTTTTCATCCAACACAGCCCAGCACCTGAACAGCCAATCTTCTCTTCATTAAGAGCTAGTGTCCTGAGAACCCTCTCTATCCAACACCCTTTCCAGCGCCTTAGCTGTCAATCTTCACTTTCTTCAAAAGCTTTGGTGTTTGGAATCCTTTTCATCCAACACACTTCCCAGCATCTGATTGACAAATCTTCACTTTCATTAAAGTGATTCTAAAGTCATTACAAAAAATATAACAAACCTATTATACTTACCTGCTCTGCAATGGTTTTGCACAGAGCAGCCCCGATCCTCCTCTTCTCTGGGTCCCCACAGATGCTTCTGGTTCCTCCCCCCTGCTGATTCCCCCCAATTGCAAGCAGATGCTCCCGAGCTAGCTCTGTGTCCATTGACACACAGTGTGGCTAGGCCCCATCCTCTTGCGCCTTGCTCCCTCCTCACTGGCTGTGATTGATAGCAGTGGGAGCCAATGACACATGCTGCTGTCTCTGAGCCAATGAGGAAAGAGAGATCTGCTGCTGTCTTGCACATTTCTGGTTTGAGATCAGGCTTGGGTAAGTATGAAGGCGTCTTTGGGGGAAGTTGCATGCAGAAGGTTTTTCAATTTCATGCAAAGAATGCACGAAGGTGAAAAACCTTCTTCCTTTAGAACCACTTTAAGAGCTACAACATCAAGAGAATCCTCTTCAGCTGACACTCGTCACAGTGCCTCGGCCATTAATCTTCACTTTCTTCAAGAATAAAGATGTCCAGAGAATCATCTCCATCCAACACATTGTGGGATTGTCAGATTGCTGGCTCCCCACCAGTTTCTGTGGTTCCCAGTCTGTCTGTCAGCATTGCAGGCCAGGCCATATTCCTTAGCAAGTTGGCGCTTCAAGAGAGTGAAGATTAACAACAAAGGTGGTTCCAAAGGCGAGTATTCTTTTCCTTCCAAGGTGCACTTTTTTTTTTAGATTGCATCAAACGAGTACTTCTTGGCTGTTGACATGTCTACCGATTTACTGGTTAGGTTTTCCAGTTCATCATAATCACTATCCTTCCTTACAGCATACAGGACATGCTCAATTTGGAAATCGGACATATTTCACCTACAGACTTAGGCACATTTTATCTGGCTATCGTAGATACATTGTGCTAGTACATATTGTTTTTTTCTAATATGGGCTGAATTGGATGAAAGCATCTGTACTCAGTTCAGTTTGGATAACAGTTTAGTCATCCGCTGTTTATTTTTCTTAATCTTTACAAGTCTGGGAGGATTCGGTCACCTCTCTGCAGTGCTGACAAAACTGTCTGTATTTTTAGAATTGCCTCAATGGTGATAATGACTCGTCCCCTGGAAAGTAATGATGAAAGTGACACATTATGAAACGTGCGGCTTAAAATATCTCATAATTATAATGTTGGGACTCTTCATGACAGTTTCTTATGCTCCTAATTGCCTGAAAATCTTACACTGTGAGTGTTGGGTCAAAGCAAGCAGGTTTCGTAACTGATGACTCCTGATAGAAGAAGTATGGCCAAAATATACATCTTCTGTGAGTCACTGGAGTGTACTTAGATCTGCACTCCTGTGACCCAGGTTCAGCCGATGATGGGCTAGACTCCACTGTTGGCTGACATCACAGAGCCAGTCCATGCTCTGCAGGGATCCCAACAATAATGTCGGGATCCTCCTAGATGCCTGACCAGCAGCTGGCTCAGCCTCTCGGTGTGCTGTTGGGAAATGAGCCATGCGCTCTCGCCCCAGTGAGCGCTGGTGGGGGCAGGGCACAGAGTAGACCCAAGAAGTGAGTGATCAACAGTCTTTGATCACTCAGTTTTCAGTGT